ACACACACACACACACACACACACACACACACACACACACACACACACACACACAATGTCTCTCTATCCTTGTGGGGACTTTCCATTGAATTCCATTCCTCTTTTTTTTTAATTTTATAACCTAACCCTGACCACAAACCCTAAGGCTAACCTCACAGGTACCTACCTGACCCTAAAACTAACCTAAACTCAATTCACACCTTGGTCCTAAACCCAACCCCCACACCCCAAAATCAGCCTCCGAAGTTGTGCGGCCCAGGCTTTGGGCCCCACAAGGAGCACCCGGTCCCCACGGGGCTGCGTTTTCCTTAAAACTGGGCCCCACGATGTAGGAAAAACAAGGCCTCACACACACACACACGCAGTCTCAGTTTCTGCAGCCTTGCACTCTAGATTAAACGCCCCCTTTCCATTCAGCCCTTGCCCTTGGCCCAAGATTAAATCCCCCCTATCATGACCTGAAGCCACCCCACACACACACACACACACACACACACACACACACACACACACACACTCCAGACAGAACAAGGTGAGAGGAGCTGCTGCTGCCTCCTGCCTCCTCTGACCATTCCTACATGTTTTATGTCAGCACCCTTTGACCACCCATACATTTTCTCCCCCTGCCCCCCTCCCCCTCACTGCAACGCGCTGACTGGAGAGGTGAGCAGCTTTTATTACTTTGCTCATGTCTTTTCACCACAACCCCGTCTTTTCAGATTAGAGTCTCTGACACCTCCTGCTCCACGGTTCCCAAAATAAGTACAGACGAGAAACTGTCCAGTGTGTCCTGCTTTGTAAAGGTATTCAGGTAAAATACCAGCTCTGTTTTCCTTCGGGTGTGTTTTATTTTTCTGCCATCTTCTGTGAAAAGCAAAAGGACACATTTGCAATTTTTCAGCTTTTAGAAGTTGAAGTCTTACCCTGAAGTGCAATAAAATGTGTTGACACATTTTACAAGTTTCCTCGACACACCACACATTGAATTATAATTATTATTAGTGAACTCTTCATTCTATTTTTGTGTCTGTTTATGTTCCCTATTTTAACTGACACATTCTTATTCTTTATTTTGTTGTCTTTCATTATACAGTGAAAAACAAATTAATTTTATGTAGAAAAATAAATATACAGTGGACTGATTAATTACCTGATTTAAGAATTAAGGCTTAAAAAACACTTTCTGAAACCTTGTCACTAAGGGCATTCTGAAAAACTGGAATGATTAATTTTTCACTTAAAGCCTTTATTTCATTTAATACAACCGACACAAAAATAAATAAAAGTTTGAAGCTGGTAAAATCATATTCAACACTCATCTCGGATCACATTTGTAAGGCTGTACTGTTAGAGACTAAACCAAACTCATCATGGGCTGTCGGACTGAATTTGGATGTTTATTTTTATCTTTTTGGAACTTTATTCAGGCCAAAGGATGATCTTCCACAAAAAGTCATTCTCTCATTTTCAGGTCATCTCACAGAAATAGTTTTAACAAAGCAATCTTCTGTCTTATAAAAAAAAAACTTTATAAATACGACATTGTTTTCAGAAATGTATTCATCTATGTGTTGTGGTAACTATGCCAGGCCTGTATGTGGTGCTGTAACGATGCAATGGAATTGCACCAAACCCAGGAAACAAGTTGTGGAGCATGCATGAAGCTCAAAAACTGAGTTGTCAATTATAGTTCAAACAGAAGATGATGTGCTGGGGTCAAAGGTTCAAGCAGAAGTAAAGCTAYGACATTTTTGTTTTTCAGCGGTTGTGTTTTGGCACGCTACATGAAAACACAAGGATGGYATTTTAAGATATTCTCTGTCAAAACCGGAACTTGTTTTAAAAGATACCAGTCTAAAAAACTATTTCCATGTAGGTGCAAAGCTATAATGAAATAATTTGTATATTTACAAAACGTTACCATATGAGCAGCTTCGTGATGATAGTTTTGAAGTGAGTTTCAAGAGCTGTCGGTCGTTATTCTTCCACCAGGAGAGTTCATTTCTGTGAAGTCGGGTCCTGTGGAATAGTTCTGAACAATTAATATCTCACCTGTTGTAGATCATTTAAATGACATCAGTTTGGAGAAATAAAAAGTAATTCTAAGCTCTGACGAGCTAACAGTCTGAGCAAAACCAAAGTGAATGTTTACCATCTTTATTCGTGCCCTTTTTTTACTTTGTGCACCTGCCCCTTTAGTGGTCTCTGCATGGCCCTGATCCTAAAGATCTACTCTCAAAGATTTTAAAATGGTACACTAAAAAAACACTGACAAAACCTAACATTGTAAGTAACCTGTCACATCTAATATTTTAGCATTGGTCAAATGTAAATAAATGTTAGGGTCAATGCTAAAATATTAGGTGTGAGAGATTACTTATTTTTTTTAAAGGTGAGTCTGTTATATACCGTATATATTGGTGTACTATGAATTATTTATTTTTATTTTGAATTTATTTATTTTTACAACATTGCACAGTAAGCTCTCATGTAGCAGCAGCAGCTAACTGTAGCACTTCTAGAACAGTTTGAGGCACTTCCTGTCAGAAAATCAGATCATTTCTGTGTACAGTAAAACTGACAATAAAAATATTGATAAACTAATGCTTGTGTAAACCACTGTGAATTTTTGTAACTATAACTGTTTTAAGATGAATGAACACATTGTGCTTCATGACCTTGACATTTTTTGTATTTTACAGGGAAAAAAATAGATTCAAAATATATACTCGTATGGTAGAAATGAAATAAACTGAGTTAATTTTCTCCTCTGAGAGGGCAAATGGGACCAAACTGGTGCAGGAAAATGCCACACAAATAAAACGACCTCTTAATGTTCGGGTCAAGGATTCCAGTCTTTTTTCTTTTAATTTGTCACTCCTCTGTGGCTGAATCCAGTTTTCTAAAGTCCCGAATCAAATGCCACTGTAAATCACCTTTACTGTGCGGCGAAAAAATGATGTGTGCTGCAGTTTATGTCATGTTCTCCTATAAAAAAATAAAATAAAATAATAAAAAAATATTATTCGATATATTTACAGCTAGAGTTGTAAAGAAATAAGAGCAGCAACAAAAATCAAAAGATTGAAACATTTCAGCAATGAACGCCTTGTTTAAATATGCCTTGCTGAAAAAATATATGCAAAGCACATAATACATATTTTGTTCTGCAGTCACACGGAATTTAGACGCCCATTTGTCATTTCTAGTGCCAAACCTCATGATTTTTCTTTATTTATTTTTTCCTTTATAGAAGAAGAAAACAACTGAACAGAAATGTGCTTTCAGGAATCTTTCACAAGATACAAMGCAGAGCAGAGAGCTACAAGATCTGTGTATTTGTTGTCGTGYCACTTTGAACTCTGAGGTACGAGTGGCGTGCACCCAGAAAAACCCCTTTCCCTCTGCTCAGGCCTATAAGCTTGACTGTCACCGCATAAATGCTAAYGAGAACATGTGAGCGAAGCTGCCACGTTGCAATAATGAGCTCTTAATTACACTTTCGAATACTTTACATAACACAGCTGATTGACTCAGACAGGAAGCAGTTTGGCACGAAATTTAGAAGCCCCATTGAATTTAATGTGATTTATTTATTTATTTWTTTGCTTTGCAGAAATGACATAGTCGAGCGGTCTCAAACAATAAGGCAGGAGTGAGTGGCCTCACGCTACTCGACAGTGGACACTGCTGTGATTGCAGATCTCRCTGTTCCTCGGCTCTAATTGGGCAGACTGACAGCTCCCATCGCACAGAGCAGAGGTGTTTTTCCTGGTTAGCATGTATGAGATGTAACCTGAAACTTCAGATCGTTTCAGATTACGAACTCCCTGTAGGAAGGTTATGAACGAAACCCTACCTGCTGTAAACAGAGTTTTGTTTTGGTTAACTAAACTTTAGCTGTTAGCTAGGCTATCCCAGATGAGATAAAGACTCGGCCAAGACCATGTGCCAACAAAATATTAATGTTCCTTTAAGGAATGCACTTTGTCCGCTGAGTTTTTGAACAAAAATGATCAAACGTTAAGAAAAGATGGAATTGTAGCCATTTTTTGGTCAAACCTCAAAAAGAAGCTCAATGTCAGTAAAAGGTATGACGATTAGTGTTCTCTGTTAGCACTCTGAATGTCAGTATCTCTGGATTTTGGTTACATTTTTTGTCAATTTTGTTATGGTTTATGCTCTTTTGGTTAAAATGTTTTGGGTGTTCTTGTGTTTTCATCTGATCTTTTTGTTTTTCCCTATTTCGTCACTTCCGTTTTCCTCCATTTAGATCCTGCCACACTCTCTCTCACCAGGTGTTTATCATCCTAGCCCATTAAACCCCTCTGTGGCAGTTTAGAAGTCAAAAGTAAAACCTTTCCCTTCAACAATACATTCATACTCCTGCTAGAACCTCATACCACAACTTTGCTCTAGATTCACTGGGTTGTGTTAGGCATGTTGAATTGGATTGACCCTAGTGGATAATCAGCTGCAGCTTTATCTATAATGGTTACCTTCAGAGAGTTTTGGTTCAGACTGACTGTTGACTTTAATAGTTTTAATGCTTTAAGCAAATTATTGTGCATTAACATTAAATATATTTAGTTAGTTTATGTTTATTTAGTTTATGGTTTTTTGCGAGTGGGAGTTGCATTTAGCTATAGCACTCTTGGTGTAGTCTTAAGCATTTTAATCAGAGATMTCAGGTATTTTATGCTAAAATGACCATGTAGTGTGAA